AAAACGAAAAGTCAGCATTTTCAAATTTGAAAAGAGTCTTTTTGAAAAGCTCAGTTTTTGTGACGGATTAATGTGGAAGGTAGGCCTAACCTTAGAAATAAAGCTCCCCCACCTGAAAAAAACTCCCCGTACGCCTATGTGTATAAATGAAGTAAAAATTCTGATATTGTAATCCCTTTTGATAAGCTTAGGTGCTTTGGGTAAAACAATAACAAATATGTCTAAACAACCAAAAATAAACAACAAAGTTAGAGTGGAGAAGAATTTACCGTGTTATAATAGCTGACCGTTATAAGAATTCAAACAAACCACGCGAACAAGGCCTAGGAAGTCTGTTTCCACAATTTCCAACCCGGCATTAACATAAAGCAAGACTTCAGTTCACGAAACTGTTTTCCTTCTCTTCGATTCTCAACAAGAACTACAACTACTACAAAGCTGAACTAACATGCGGTAAACAAGCAATAAACTGAGCTAAATTTACATACGCTACCAGCATTTGTCCGCCAGGTGCAAATGCAAAAAATGCATAAACTATGAATACTGTGAAAACACAATAACGAATTACGCTCGGGACACTCCCATATAAAAAGGGCGCGGGGGCTCGTCGGAAATTTTGAAAGAAAAACCTATAAGAGGTATCAAGAACCTGTTTTGTGGGCGCCGGCGGCGTGAAATTCTTTTCAGCCCTAAGAGGTAGCAATTCTAAACCAACACAATTACTGACACCTTCATTATTGTTAATAGCGATAAAGACCATTGCTTCAAATACCTCAGTTCTACTCAGTTGATTTTCAAATATCTCCTGTCCTATTATTTCGGCTCAACACCCTAAAAGGTAGCGCAAAAGCTCCCGCTGTGGACCTTTTGAGGCTGAACACCATAAGAGTACGCACTAAAACCGCTTTGTTTACCCCTGAAAGGTACAATGAGCAGACGTAACCTTTTTATGTGGGAGTTCCCCTCCTGAGGGGGGTGAGGTGGCGTACGTCCACGCTAGGTAAAACATATCCTAAAAAAGAAGGATTTCCTTGACACTAAGGCCTATATGGGGGATTCATTCTTTTTCCCTTTATCTGCTCTTGTCGTCAATAATTGAAATTCATGCTGATAGTGGTGTAGTTCCTGTTTGGCCATGGCCAGTGACACATGAACTCAACAATTAACGAAAAAGCGATACCTTTTACTTTGAGGAATGCAAAACAACGAGCTACGCCCAAACTCCTTTTAGGTGTTTTTTTTTTTTTTTTTTTTAGAATTTCCGATCATCTTGCCACCACTTTCACTGGTAAAGGCCCAGAATTTGTAACCATGATTCCCGGGCTAAAAAGGGCGAGGCGAAAAGAGCACAACAGATCTTCCCTCTCAGGAAACCGAGCTGTTTTTATATGTGCACTAGTCCGCATCAAACGACACCAAAGAGACGGCAAGCGTAATTTAATTATCAAATTCTTACATTTCCTACGAATCATGTTGCTTTAATTTGCAACCTCTCATACATGTAACAAGCGGGGCTAACATTATCAACTTTGCACTAATATTATGTGAGTGCTTGTGCAAGTTACGTATAGGACAATATAAAACTCAGATAACAAAGGATTATTAATACCACAGAATATAAATATAACGACAAGTTGACTATTGCAATGATTGCTCAACTCCTTATCCAGCTTCTAAGAATTTCCAGCAGCTAAGTCCTGGATCTACATATCAGAACACCTTTATAAATATGCACACCTCAAGCTCGGAACGTTTTAACGTTACACTCAAACCGCTATATATCGTTACCATGTCGGGGAAGGATTACCAGAGGAGCATTCCTTACACTATTCTGGCTACTACAGAAACAACAGAGCGCTTGCAAAGAAAGTTTATTCTGTAACGGCAGGCTCATGAGAACTAATTGTAACCGCGAGCGCACAAATTAAAAAATCCAAGCATGGCGGAGAGGATAAAGTGGCTAGACAGACGGCATATTTTTCACACATTCCTCGCTAAATTCTCAAAGCATGGCTGGTTTTATTTTCGTTAAAAACAAGCCAAGAACACTGTCTACTGATCGCTGATATCCTTATACATAGCACAATAGTCACAAAGGAATGCACCTCTAGAATAAAGAGTTTTCAACCCAACATAGCCACCGTTTTCATTGCTTTGGGACACCAACATGGCTGCCGTGAGGTCATGTGAAAACACTCTACAGCAACCCTGCCTCCAGAGGCTAATGCATTTATAAATTAAGCAGTTTCCTTGACACTACACTACTGTGGTTCTTAAATACTAATAAAAACAATAAATATCAACAAAGACTTGCTCCAAAACGATGGTTTTGATTCTATATGGCAGACAACTTTGGTTATCTCTCTGAGAAAGGACAAGTTTGTAAGGCGCTTTTGAAAAAACGCTTGAAAATTGCGAGAGGATGCGAGGATGCGAGGATGCGAAAATACGGACGCAAGCGCGACGCGCGAGAATAAATGCGTGTGAAACTCGTGATTTATTATACTCTTGTTGTTTAAGCGCGTGTGGGAGAATTCGTATCAAAACAATCGATTTGGAGAAAGCCAACTATAAATTTTACGTGAACGAAAACGTGACTCGCATTTTTCGAAATTGCTGACTAACCATACCTTGTGCCTCTTACAAAAAGTTTTACATAGAAAACGTTTTTCCGTTCCTCGACTCAAGCAACAGATATGTTCGCTCATGCTGAACGACGCGAAGCAATTTTTTTTTACTATTCGAGGGTTGAAATAAGGAAAGCTTTATAACAACTTTAATCAGTCAGTTACAATAAAATGCCTTTTTCTTCGTTGTAATTATCGCCAACTTAATCACCACCCCTCTAGGGGTGGACTCCCATATAAAAAGGCCGAGGGTGCTGATCGGAAATTTTGAAAA